GGGCCTGGCCCAGTGTGACAGCTAGAGGAGCAGGTTGTGGAGAATGGATGGTCGTAGGGCCCCTCACCGCCGAGGCCTGGGCTTGCACCCGAGGCGGGCCCAGGCCCTTCCTTTCAGACTCAGAGTCACGCCTGGGGCTGCAGCCCCGGGAATTCCTCCTCCTGTGGAGACAGGTGACAGCGCTCCGAGCACACCTGGCTGAGCTGCGATCGGCCTCTGAGAGGTGAGCCAGCCACCCCACCCGGGTGGGGGAGAAGGGGCATCTGGCGGTGGCCCAGGCGGTGGCCCCAGGATGCTCCCATGGGCACAGACGTTTTGTCTCACAAACCCCTGCCCCAGCCCTGCTGGACCTCGGGGGCCCTATGGGGGTAGAGGTGGGGCTGGAGGGTGAGAGGGGGGAGAAGCACCAACACACAAAGGGCAGCAGGTGAGGGTGCAGGAGGGGAGGAGTTCCCTGGGTCCTTGCCGGGTACCTCTCAGGCCTGCCCTGGGTCATCGAGGTACCTATCAGCACCCCGTTTGCACACAAGAAAACTGGGCTCAGAGGGTCCATGTCCTCTGTGGCCTTGCCCAGCTCTTGCTCACCCCTCCCCTACTGTTACATGGGGACAGTGGGAGCCTCTCCTGAGGATGGGGGTGAGGGGTCTGCTAAGGGCAGAAAGCAGGACCCATGTGACCAGACCCTGCCCCTCCCAGCCAGGGTGAGACCCCGTGGGCCTTGAGCCCACGGCGGGTCCTGAGCCTCCCCTGAGGGTGCCGCCTTATCCCCAGGGGTCTCTCTGACATGCAAGCAGAGGCAGCCAGGACAGCCCGGCGCCTGCACACGGCCTGCCTGAACCTCGACTCCAACCTGCGGCTGTCGGCCAGCAGCTCGGCGAGCGCCCTGGAGCGGCAGGGCCTGCACGGTGCTTGGCTCGAGCAGCAGCTGCGGGACAAAGTGCGAGAGATGCTGCAGCTACAGGGCCGCTGGGATGCGGAGAAGGTGGCACTGCAGGCCAGGTGGGACCCAAGCGGGCGATCACACAGTGAAGGTTGGAGGGGAGGCACCCTGCGCCTTCTTCCTGTCTGCCCAGCAGCCGGGGTTCCCAGTGGTAGGCAGGCGTCATTCTAGGGGCCACATGACATTCCCATGGATGGAGGAGTCCAAACTCCTTAAGCAGCCCTGGAAGCCAAAATTAGAGCTCTCCAGTTGTAAGGGTCTCTGTGGACACACATGGACTGTCCCTGTGGCTGGCTCCCGAAAGTGGAATTTTCAGGCCTAAAGCACATCCTTCAGGAGAAGGCGGCTGGGCTGGGCTGGGCCCACCTGGGGTCCACACTTCAGAGGAAGCGTGGATATTCTGCACACAGAACCCACGTCTAGGGCTTGAAGTCTGTTTCCTTCGGCAGAAAACGGGGAGACAGCTTCCCACTAAAGACCACAGGGCACAATTCCGCAGAGCCTGGGTGCCGAGAGCTCATGTGGCCACAAACACTCTGCCAGGCTGACAGGATAAAGCCTGCACCCACATGGGGTGCAGGTGGCCCAGTATATCCTGCAGGGACAGCACCCCAGGCCGGAGCAGAGTGCCTGGGGCCACGGGAAAGGAGACCCAGGTGCCATGGGGAGCCAGGCGCCTTTGAGAAGAAAGCGGGTCCTGGGAAGGAAGGGGTAATCACATCCTCACTCACCGTTAGACTCGGGGTGGCTGAGAGGTGGCCCAGGCAGGGCAATGGCACGCAAAGACCCCCGAGTGAGCTCTGCATCTGCTGGGCCCCAAGGACAGGGCAGGACCACAGAGGCCACCAACCACGAGGCTGCAGAGCTGAGTCAGGGTCAGCGTGGGGGCCTCGGATGCCGACCTTGGGGTCTGGGCTTTACAGCGGGAGTCATTGACGGCTAGAGTAGGAGAGAGGTATCTGATCAGACCGGGGACCGAGGCCCACTCGGACTGATGTGCCAGTGCCTGAGCCCGGCCACACCACAGGCGGAGGAGTGGGATTCAGCCGGGGAGTCTCCAGGGCCAGCTTTCGCCTTGGACTCCGTGCTCTGCACTGACCACTCTGCATCCCGACCCCTGACTTTCCGGCAGACTCTCCGAGCAGACTCGGCTAGTGGAGAAGCTCACAGAGCAAAACTCACAGAAGGAGCGAACCATCTCTTCCCTCCGAAAGGACCTTCAGAGACTGGTGCGTGGGGCCTGGGATGGAGCGGCTCCGGGTCGGGCACGTGCCACCTGCTGAGGGTCTGCTCGGTGCAGGAGTCCCGGCGCGGTGGGGGCCAGCTGGCGGCAGACAGCCTGAAGGAGGAAGTAGAGTCCTTGCGGCGTGTTTTGAGCATCATCATGGAGGTGCGGGCCATCTCGGAGGCTCAGGGGGCTCCCCTGTCTCGTGGGATAATCCGGAAGGTCCCCCCTGGCCCTGGCCCTGAGCGCTCTCCCCGCACCATGAAGGTGGCCCAGGCGGACTCGAGGGGCCAGGAGCTGGCGCAGAGCAGCAGCCCTGACAGGGAGAAGGCTCGGGGTCCACGGAGGAGCCCCCCACGTATCTCGTCCCCTCAATGGGGCACATCCCCACCGCGGGCCCGCTCCCCATCTGCCCTGGACCCCACACTACAGGCCGTGCAGACAGCCATAGAGAGGCGGCGGTGGCAGGAGCAGGTGAGCAGCCAGTGCAGAGCTGTGCCCTGGTCCCCACCTGGGCATGGAACCCACGGGGTTAACAGGTGTGGCAGCTGGGCCCACCCCTGAGCAGGACCCACAGGGCTGCCCCGGAGCCCCACAGCCCCCAGGAGGGGCTCTGTCCTCAGTGCATCCTTTCTGGGGCCTGTGGTCAAAGGCCTGTGCAGGCCGGAGGGGGCTCATGTCACGCCCGCCCCGAGCAGGAGCTGCGTGTGCAGCTGAAGTCCTCCCAGGCGGTGGCGGCCAGGCTCCGGGAGCAGCTGTCCGAGAGGCAGCGGGAGCTGCGGGCCTGTCGGAGGCTCCTGCAGGAGCGTGAGCAGGAGCGGGAGGACCTCCTGGACAGGCTGGAGGCGCAGAGCCAGGAGACGCGGCGCTGCAGGGCGGCCAGCAAGCTCCTGGGAAGGTGGCTGACCGACCGGAAGGGCTGGGTAGGGCAAGGCGGGCTGGCCCGGCCGAGGCCGGACAGAGTGGGCAGTCCCAGCCTGGAGTGCTTTCCCCACAAGGCCTTCCGCACAGAAGGGAGAGGGCCGTGGTTCCTGGGGACAGGTGGGCCCCTCAGCGTGGGGCAGGAGGGCCGAGTCCAAGGGGCATTTGGGAAACGGGGCTCAGGGGCCAGGGCCGGAGGGCGCAGCTGAGGTCATGTCCCTGGCTGGTGGGTGATGTGTGGTGAGGACTCAGGGGGTCAGCTTCGTGCAGGGAGCTGGATCTGGAGGGTCCGGGGCCCTGTCAGGACAGGTGAGTAGGACAAGCAGATGTGGAGCTGGGGAGGGCCCAGGTGGGGCGTGTCCCTTCCTTCCAGCAAGTTCCACAAGGACTGGCAGAGCACTGAGTACAGGGTCGCACCAGGAGCAGCAGCCTTCGTGTTTTTGGGACGCATGGGGCCACCAGGAGGGGACAAGCCGCTGGCCACGCCACCTCGCAGGCCGTCCTGGGGCTGGAGGAGGCTAGATCTTCTTCGCCCCTCCACACATTTCCCTGAGCTCCTGCCCCGAGCAGCACCACGCCTGGCACCCACCCTGCCCTGCCCGCTCTCCTGGCAGTGGGCTGAGGCTGGAACGTACCCGGTGTGGGTCTCCCGGCCCCTCTGCCAGTGTTGCCCCTACCTTGGCCTCCCTGCTCCCAGAGAGAAGAAAGCTCTGGAGACGGAGTTGGAGGAGCTGAGGGGCAAGGTGGACTCTTGGGCCGTGGACAAGCAGAGGCGGGAGGCCGAGAACGCCGAGCTGCAGAGAAACCTCCTGCTCTGGGCGCAGCAGCGGGAAGAGCTGGAGCAGCAGGGCGAGCGGGGCCGCAGGGAGCTGGAGACCAGGTGGGCTGGGCAGGAGCTGTGAGCCTTCGGGCTGAGCCGGCCTCCTGTGGGCCTCAGTGTCCGCACCCAGTGGGAGGACCACTTCCTTAGCAACCTTGCCTCGGGGAGCGGGGATGCCCAATGAGACAGCGGGGGTGACAGGCTCTCCAGGGTCCCTGCAGTCTGGGCCACCACCCCGACACCCACCCAGCATCCCCCCAGTGCCTACCCCAGCACATCCACCACCCAGGCCCAGGAGAGAGGGTGCCCCCGGCATGTATGCACATGCCTCACCGAGGCGAGTCCACTGAGGCATAGACCGAACCCCACCCCCAGCCGGGAAGCAGGGTCCTGGTTTGGATGCCACCCTGTGGACTCCCCAAGTTCAGGCCTCCAGAGAGACCCAGGGCTCCTCTGGGGCTCCCTGGGCTTGGAGGGAGTTGCAGACAGCCACCCTGCCCACTGGGTCCTGTGAGGTGACCCGTTGTGCCCTGAACCCACCTCACACCCTCTGCCTCTGATTTGGGGACCTTAGTCAAGGGCACCTGGAGCAGCTGGAGGAGAAGGTCTCAGGGCTCAAGAAGGAGCTGGTGTCAGCCCGGGAGGCACTGAATGCAGCCCGGCTACAGAGGGACCTTCTGGAGAGTGAGAGGGAGGCCCTGCGTGGCACACTGGCCCGGGTACGCCTGTCTCCCACCTCCTACCTCCCTCTCTCCCACCAGGCCACCCTGTCATCTCTCCTGGCTGCAACCTTAGCACCCAAGAAGCTGCTCTTTACCCCAGAGGCCTCCTCAATGTGGGATTCCCTTCCCCTGTCCTACCCAGACCTCCAACTCGCACACACCCATGACGAGGGGCTCGCTCCCTCACTGACACCAACAGCTCTGCCTGGGAGAAGCTCCTCCCTGGCATCCCCACTCAGGGTGACCGGTGCCCTCCCCTGCCCTAGGCTGAGTCCAGCAATGCTGACCTGGAATTGCTTGTGACCCGGCTAAAGTCGGAGGGGGTGCAGCAAAGGGACTCCCTGGCCACGATGGCCGCCCTGATGGAGGGCCTAGCTGAGGATAAAAGCAGCCTGACCCACCTGGTCCTGCAGGTAAGACCAGGGCCCAGTGGGTGGCCTTTGTCCTGGGCCTCACAAGTCCCAGCTCTGGTCTCTGAGCCCAGGATCCTCCCTGCACCCGTTCTCCCCCACTTTCCATTCCCAGACTGAGCGCAGGTTTCGGGGGAAGAGGCCCACACAGGGACAGCAGCCGGATGGGCCCGTCAGGCCTTCGGGAGGGGAAGCCACACCGACCTGGGCAGGCCAGGGAGGGGTGGTCAGCCCATGGGGGCTCTGGCACCTGGGGCATGGACCCGACGCTGACCCCCGCCCCCCACCCTGGGCAGCTGCAACAGGAGGGGGATCAGCTGCGAGAGCAGGAGCGGGTGCTGAGGCAGGAGCGGGCAGGCGCCCGGGAGCGGCTCGAGCAGGCCGAGCAGCAGCTGCAGCAGCTGGAGGGGCAGGCAGACCGGCTCCGGCAAGAGAGGGCCAAGCTGCAGGACCAGGTGGGCCAGGGGAGGGGTCTGCAGGGCTCCTGGCTCTGGACCCACCCTGCAGGGTGGCCCCTTCCTCTCTGTGGTGTGGACAGGGCGCAGGCCACCTTACCCCATCACCCGGCTCAGGATGTCAGCGCCAGGGCTGTCTAACTGCAGTGCTGACTGACTGGGCAGGTTCTGTGGTGGGGGCAGGGGGCAGGGGGTGGGTTTTCAAAGAGGAACCTATAAATCATGCCCAGCCCAGTACCAGAATTCAACATGTCACCCTCAAGTGTGATGTTTTCTGTAGCTGTTTGATAAATGTCCCTCATCCAATTGACAATGTTCCCATTTGTTCTTTTCAATCATGAATGGGTTTCGAATTCTGTTCACATTTTTTCTGTATCTGTTAAGATGACTATATCATTGTTATTCTGTTAACGTGAATGATATTGGTTCACTTTTTAATGGTAAAACAACCTTGCCTGCCTGAGACGAACCCCACTTAGTCATAAGTTAATAGATATTTTATATATTTTTTTATTAAACTTCATAATATTTTGTGAAGGATTATTGCACGTATAATAAGGAATGAGGAATACTGGCCTATGATTTTCTCCTCTCGTAATGTTTTTGTCAGATTAAGAATCGGGGCCTCCTAAAGTGAGTTGGGAAGTGTTCCTCCTCTTCTGTTTCCCAAAGCGTTTTAAAATTGCTGGGTTTTTGGTTGTTTTTTCTACATGTTGGTAGAATTCACTAGTGAAGTTATTTGAATCTGGAGTTTCGTTTGTGAGAAAAGTTTTAATAACAAATTCAGTTTCTATAACAGATAGAGGGCTACTCAGGTTTCCTATTTATTCTTGTGGCCGTTTCTCCTGCCGCATGTTGCGTTTGCCCTTGGCCCCTAGGGCCCTGGCCCTGCATCACGTGAGAGCTAACAGATACTCCCAAGGGGAATGTGAGTAGAACGTCGGGCCCACTTGAATATGTGTCTCTCAGTAATCAGGCCCCTTTGGGTCTTGGCTGCCTTGGTATCTCTGCAGCCTTCACACTGATATGCTGGAGGTACAGTGGGAAGGTTTTCTACCTGCTCTAGGTGGGATTATTGGCCTTCAATAATCTAGTTCACCATTATCAGAAGCAGAAAGTTCTGGTTTTTTGTGTGAAGGATATTTTTGCTGGGTATAGACACTAGGGTAGTGAATATTTTCTTTCAGCATTTTTATGGATTCATTCCACCATCCTCTGACTTTCATTGTTGCTGTTTGGAAGTCAAACATCAGTCTTATGGTTGCTCATTTAAATGTAATGTCTGTGGGGTTTTGTGCCTCTGATTTTTAAAGATTTTTTTTTTAATTTTGCTATCCAGAAACAGTATGGATATATCTACGTGACATTTCCTTTGAATTTATCTTTTTAAGGTATTGTGGCTCATTTTAAATCTGTGGCTGGATGCATTTCATTAAACTTGCAAAATTCCTGTCTATCTGTTCAGACATTCTCTCTCCAATTCTAATTATACAGATGCTGGGCCTTGTCCTATGTGTCTGTTACACTCTTTTCTGTATTTTCCATTATTTTTTCTCTTCATGATTCAGTCTGAATACATTCTTTTGTCTATCTTCCAGATTACTAGTCTTCTATTCTGTCTAATCTGTCATTGAAACATTATATTTATTAATTTTGATTATCGTGTTTTTAAATTATGTTGTTTGTGTTTAGTTTCTAGTTCTACGGTGAAATTCTTCATCTTGCTATCCATCTTCTTGAACATTTAATCACAGCTATTTTAAAGTCTGTGTCTGGGAACTCTAAGGAGGCAGGAAGGCATCTGTGTTTATTTGATGTTCTTACATGTGGTTCTTACATATCTCCTGATATGCCTGGTAATGTTGATCAAATATCATATACTTTAAAACTATAGGAATAATTTGATGATGCTGTTCTTCTAGAGAGGATTTCCTTTCGGTTCTGGCAGGCAGTGGGGGTAGATGATCACCATAATCCATCCCTGAGGAATGGTCTGTTCTGATCCACCCGACTACAAGGGCGAAGCCCTTCTGTGAATACAAGTAGAAAGCTAGGGTGTTTACCAGGGCCCTTCTGCTTCCATGGCTCAGAATTTGAGTTTTTGGACCCCTGAGGCCATAATACTACCAGAAGCTCTCCTTGACTTCCCAATGTCTCAGCCAAAACTTTGAGATCAGCGCACGCTCTGAAGAGGGACGAGATGCTGGATGGTGGGCTTTTTCCTCGTTTCCCTCCTCTCCATGATCTCACACAGCTCCTTCCCTCCCAGCTGACCTGGCAGCTCCCAAGGCCTTGTTCACATTCCGTGATGTATTTCGTCTAGATTTTCGTGATGTTCTTGGTGGAAGTGTTAGTCTGCAGCAGTCGGGTCCTCCATCACTTTGTACTTCCATTTCTGTGCAATGTTTCCTGCCCCCGTGGATACTTGTGGCCCGACCAAGGTTACCATGTAGACTGACGGCTGGATATGCTCGGTTCAGTCACTCCTCCATCATGGTCAGAGTAGAGGTCCCTTTTGTGTTAGCACATGAGCACTCGGAGGTCCCGTGTGTCTTACATCCCCGCTCCTCTTCCTTTCCCTCCATGTCATTCTCTGTGAAACTTCTCCTGAAGGCCTTTTCCTTGAAGACGTCCCCCACCCCTCCCACTCCCTCTTTTTCTGCTGGACTTTCCCCTTCCCCCTCCTCTAGGTCACATGCAAGAAACAGGCCCTGGAGGAACAGCTGGCCCAGAGCCTGCAGGACCAGGAGGCCCAGATGGACACTCTCCAGAGGGCCCTGCAGGAGAAGGAGGCCTTGTCTGAGGAACGAGCCCAGCTGCTGGCCAAGCAGGAGGCCCTGGAGACCCAGGGCCAGCTCTCGGCTGAAGAGGCAGCTAACCTCAGGTACCCACCGGGGCCTGTGGGCAGGGTGTGTCGGCATGGCCTTGCCTCTGGAGAGCCTGCAGTGTGGCAGGGGGCAGGCATTCGCTTAGCAACCGTAGGGCAGGGGAGTATGTCTACTTGGGAGAGGGGCTGTGAGTGAGGGGCCAACACAGTGCCTGTGGGGGGGAACATCTAGAAGAGGTGGATCCAGTGAGCGCCCTGGGGTGACGATCCTGTGAGAGGTGGCTGCACTGGTTGGTGGTAAGTAGCAGAAGGAAGACATGGAATGGCTCATGGATCTGAGAAGTTCAGCACACACATGGCTTCAAGCAAGGCTTGCCCAGGCCCCCTAACTTGTGTGGGCTGCGCGTGGGCCGTTTGTGTTCAGTGTCTGTGGTGTGTGCGTCGCCCAGCACAGCAGAGCAGAGCAACAGTTAAAACTTGCTCACCGGCTGGTTAATACTGATGTGTTGGCTTTAGAAATTCAAAACACCTCCCCTGAAATGGGGGCTGCGGTCAGGGCTGTGCCTCAACCCAGGTGTCCTCTGGGCAGAGAGGCAGAGGCAGCTTCTCCTGTGATGGAGCCACACATGTGCGGTCTGCTTCTTGGAGCAACTCTTTTTTTAAAAAAAATCTTCACCCAAGGAGCTGAGGATATTTTTTCCACTGATTTTTTAAATAGAGAAAGTGTACAGGAGGAGGTAAGGGGAGAGGAGAGAGAGAGAGAGAGAGAGAGGGAGACCAATGTCAGAGAGACACAGCAATTGGTTGCCTCCCACATGTGCCCCAACCCAACTGGGGGCAGGGATCAAACCTGCAACCTAGGTACAGGCTCTTGATCAGGAATTGAACCCGTGACCCTCTGATGCACAAGCTGACCACTGAGTCACACCGGCCAGGGCTCAGAGCAACTCTCTATGTGACAAGAGAACAGGGAATAGAGTTTCTTCATTACGACCAACAAATGCACCGTAATTCCCATGACATTCTGCCGTCCACCAGCACCGAAGCCGGGTGCCATTGCCCAGCCACAGTGAGCGCCCCGTGAGGCATTGTTGGTTCAGTGCGTGTCTAGGGTGCTGACACCTGAAGGTGGGGTGTCTGGCTCCAGGACAGTCAGCCTAGCCAGCACTGCATCTTATCTTTACTTTAATCTTTTGGTAATTGGATGCGTGGTTGTGATTTGAATTTCTTTGAGTACAAATAATGTTGAGCAAGTGTCATATGTTTATTAACCATTTGTGGGGGGTTTTGAGAATAACAGTCATTTTTCTCATTTTTCTGTAGGGTCAGCTGACTTTCTGTCATTGATTGGTAGGAGCTCTTTGTATATGACGGCTGTGGACCCTGTGTATATTTAGTGTAGTGTTTTTCTTCAAGTCTGTGCCTTGTCTTTTACGTTGGTTTGTGGGATCCTTTCTGCATGGAAGCTCCCCCTCCCCATCTTCTAGTGTATTCACACCTGTCGGTCTCTTTAATTTTGTCTTCCAGTTTTTGTGTCTTTCTTACGAAGGTTATAAAATACCCTTCTGTGTTTTTTTCTACTATGTTTATAGTTCTAAGTTCTTTGGTGGTGGTTTTATTTTTGCATTTAGCTTTTAATCCACTTGAAACACTTTTGTGTGTGGGATCCAATTTGTTTTACAGATTTAAGATGAAGGAGATGTCCTCTGTTTGTTCTCTGACTTATCCGCCTGGCCTTGGCGGACACTGGGATCACCCGGTGACTGGCTTGCTGTCCAATGGTTGTCTGCAGGGCCGAGCGGGATGCACTGGAGAGCAGCCTCTATGAGGCCCAACAGCTGGCAGAGCAGCTGCAGGCGCAGCAGGAACATCTAGAGGGAGAGGCCCAGAGTGCCCGGTGTGCCCGGCAGGCCCTGCAAGGTGCTCCAGCAGCTCCTGCCTCTCCTCTCCCCATATGGCCCAGAAGGGCCCCTCCTGTGGAGTTCAGTCCCAGGGTGCTGCTCCTGGTGCCTCAGGAGGGGCGCCAACTCGGGCCTGGAGCTCCCGTGGCTGAATGGGTCCTGCCGCTGCTGTCTGTGAGGGGTGGCCCTGCCCGGCCTGCTTCCCACTCTGGCCTGGGATTCAGCCCTGGGCCAGCATGGCAGCCCCTGCCCCATCCCTGAGCCCTCACCCCTGCTCAGCCCACCCTGCCATGTAGGCCATGTGTGGCCCACCCACCCATGGGCCGGGCCATAGCCAGGACACCCACGCTGCTGTGGGGCCCTGTCCTCACCTGCTCCTCAGAGTGGGTGGCTGTCACTCCGCAGGGGGTTCGCACAGGCCACGGGGCAGACCATGGCACGGGTCCCCGGCCGGTCCCAATGCACCTGTCACTTTGCAGTGGAATTGGAGCAGCTGAAGAGTGCCTGGGAAATCCGGGAGACAAAGCTGGAGTGGGATGTGGGGCAGCTGCGGCGGCAGGTGGCACAGCAGGAGCGGGAAGCACAGCTGGCCCTGGAGAGCCAGGCACTGGCCCACCGCGAGGACCTCGCCCGGCTCCAGAGGGAGAAGGTCTGCTTCCCTGGGCCACCAGCTGCCACTCCCAGGAGCTTACTGTGTCCCAGATAATGCAGACTCTCCGGGGAGGGGCCCTAGGAAACCAGGCAAGGGCGAGGGGCCCGGGCGACACTGAGGCGGGGGCCAGAGAGGACCCTTCATAGGTCAGGCGGGTAGCTAGGGTGGTGGGGCTGAGCCTGTGTCGCCAGGTCCTCTCCCTCACAGAAGGGGCCAGCCCTGGGAATTGGCCGACCTCCCCGCAGTCTGAGGCCATAGCTAGAGGGCACTTCATTGCCCATCTGAGCCACACACACCCCCCGTCACAGGCTCCTGTGGGCTTTGATTGACACATCCACACATCGTGGTTTCTATGGTGCGTGGTGCACTGTGGAGGGCTCAGGAATGGCCTGTGAACTGTTACTTCATGTTGGATAGAGGAGGTGGAGGCCCAGAGAGCCCCTCCGCCGCTCTTGCTCCAGTAACACTGCGTGAGACAAGGGGCATGCAGCTGGTTGGGCTGGACAATCCCGGGGGCCCTGTCCTGCTAGTGTCCCATGAACCAGGTCTCACTCAGGACCACAGGCTGGTTTAGGTGTCCTGACCTGTGTGGCCCTCACAGCCTATCCCTTTTTCTTGGCCCAGGAGACCTTGAGTCTGTCTCTGACAGAACAGAAGGAGGCAGCAGCTTGCAGGCTGGAACAAGAGAAGGAGCTGGTGGCAAGAAGTGCAGCCACGAGGGAGGCTCTGAAGGAGGAAATTCAGAGCCTGAAGCACGAGCGGGATGAGAGCCTCCTCCAACTAGAACACGAGATGCAGCAGGTGATGGGGGGCTACGAGGCAGTGGCCATCCTCACTTCCACTCACCTTGCCTCTTCTGACCCCGCAGGAGGGCTGTGTGTGGGCAGCCTGCTATTATAGTGTTGGCCTTCCAGAGCCGGCTAGAGGACAGAGATTCACCCACCTACCCATCTACCCACTCATCTGTCCATTCACCCAGCCATCCATCCATACATCCATCCACCATCCATCACCCATCCACCATCCATCCACCATCCATCCATCCACCCATCACCCATCCACCCATCCATCCATCCATCCATCCACCCATCACCCATCCACCCATCCATCCATCCACCCATCACCCATCCACCCATCCATCCATCCATCCATCACCCATCCACCATCCATCCACCATCCATCCACCCATCACCCATCCACCATCCATCCACCATCCATCCATCACCCATCCACCCATCCACCCATCCACCCATCCACCCATCCATCCATCCATCCATCCATCCATCCATCCATCCATCCATCCATCCATCCACCCACCCATCCATCCATCCATCCACCCATCCACCCATCCATCCATCCATCCATCCATCCATTCATCCATCACCCATCCACCATCCATCCACCATCCATCCACCCATCACCCATCCACCCATCCATCCATCCATCCATCCATCCATCCATCCATCCATCCATCCATCCATCCACCCATCACCCATCCACCATCCATCCACCCATCACCCATCCACCCATCCATCCATCCATCCATCCACCCATCACCCATCCACCCATCCACCCATCCATCCATCCACCATCCACCCATCCATCCATCCATTTATCTGTCCATACTTTCATCTGCCCATCCATCCATGCATCCATCCATCCATCCATCCATCCACTCAACTGTCCCTCCACTTGTTCATTATTCATTTATTCAACTGAATGTCCATTCTATCCACACACTCATCTGTCCACCCACGTGCATGGCCATCTCTCCACATACTCAATTGTCTGTTCAGATACCTCACTGTACTTCTACCCATCAATTTGCTTGAACATCCCTCTAACTAGCCACATGCCCAGTCATCGATCCACACCACTATCCAACCACTCACTTGACCATTCATCTCTTCCTTCATTTAAACAGCCTTCCCTCTGTTCACACACTCAGCTATCCATTCATATCCACCGTTCATCCATCTGTCTGACTGTACATCCATCTATCTGATTAGCCAGCCATTCATCCATCGATGTACCCAGCCATCAGCCACCCACCTGACCATCAGTCCATGCAGACAACCACTGGCCACTCTCCTGGCCACCCTCCATCCCCCGGCTATTGAGATTCAGACACTGGGCATGTAAAGGTTACCCTCTGGGTCCAGGCCCTCCAGTTTACTGCAACACCATGAAGCGCTCACTGTTCAGTGAATGGAAGGACAAGTAGGCGCAGTCACATGTTGTCACACAGTGGGACACGACTCTCAGGTGTTGGCACAAATGACAAATCCCAGGGGAGGGAGTCACAGTAGCAGGAGTCACCAGGGTTTATTGCCAGACTCCCTGCATTTCTAATCTGATTCCCACAACACTCTGAGGTACATGCTCTTACTGGCCCCATTTTACTGGTGGGAAAAGTAAGGCTCACACATGGCGACGGCCTTGCCCTGGGCTGCGTGGCACACCTGCCGGGCCCTGGGCCTGTGCTCTCGGCTGGTCCACTGTTCATTCCCTGAGAAAGAGGAAGGAAAGGTTTTGCAGCTGTGGCCACATTTTGGGGGTAGGACAGTAAAGGAGGAGCAGGAGGTTGGGGAGGGAGGGAAGGGAATTCGGGGATGTCTGCGCAGAACCCCTGAGGTTCCAAGATTCACCAGAATGATCCTCAGAACTCAGGAAAGCGCTACACGTACGATCACAGTGTTATTTAAAGGACACGAGTCAGGGCCGGCCCAGTGAAGAGACATGTGGGACGAGGTCTCTCCCGTAGAATTGGGGCACATCACCCTCCGGCACATAAATGTGGACAAGCGTTTTCACTGGGGTCCTCGCATGGTTGTGGTTCACGAAACCACTGGCCACGTGGTGGGACTCAGTCCCCATCCCGTCCCCGGGGCTGGGTGGTCTCAGTGGCCCACAGCCCGAGTGCTCTAATTCACCCCTGGGGGGGCACGGCCACCCTCTCCCCAAACGCATCAGGCAGCCATGAGTCACCTCTTAGAGTAGATTCAGGTGTGGTCCTGGGACCCAGGAACAAAGACACTCCTCATGTGCGGAATTCCAAGGGTGTAGAGGCTCCCCCCAGAACAAGAACCCAGACCAAGTCTTTGTTATGAAGGAGCCTCCCGAGATCGCTGTGCACAGAGGAGCAAATAGAAGTTCACGTTGCGACCCCACCTCTATAACACAGAGTCCGAAAGGCACACGTGTGGTCCAGGCCTTTCTCTTCCTGGGGTCGACCTGTGTTGGGGACCTTTCCACATCCGTGTGCTCAAGGTGTGATCATTCCTCTCACAGCCAAGGTGCTCAGGCGCTTGGGTCAGGATTTTGTTGGCCTTCTACCTGCGGACGTCTGGGTTGTTTCTGGTTTGTTGCTGTTATGAGCAATAACCAACGGCCCTGAGCAGGCCATCCCGCACGTGTACACGCACATCTCCAGGGCCCCACGGGCCTGGGCCTCCGGAGCCCATGCACCTGCGACCTTCAGGGTCATTGCCAAATTCCTTCCATCTCCTGCAGCCCTCGGGGGCGCTCACCTGCATCCCTCACTCTTGGCGACACGCAGCATTTTCAGAGGCTCAGATTCATAGAGGTCCCCACTCTGTGCTCTGCGGGAAGCGATGCCTGGAGGGGTTGGGGGCTCGAGGGGAAGGGGTCTGTGAAGCCCTTGACCTGCGCTGGTAGGAAGCAGGTGTTGGACAAGTGCACTGTGGGGAAGGGCCAGTGCACCCGGAGGACAGGGTAGGGTAGAGGGGTGGTGCTGCCTGACTGCAGGCACAAAGGCTGGACCATGGCAGATGGGGCAACAGGCTCCCACCCAGCTCCCGGATGTGGCTGTCCTTGGGGTGCTGCCCCCTCCAGAACAGGGGTGTGGAGCCAGGAACACGCTGTGTCCCGCCAGGGGCTTCAGCACCCAGCACCCCACTGTCACACTAGGCGTTGTCTCTGAAAGAAGCAGAAAGGAGCCGGCTGAAGCAGGAGCTTTCAGGTGCCACAAGGGAACTGGAGCGGGTGTGGCAGGAGGCCCACAGCCAGCAGGAGCAAGCAGAGGTGAGCCCCCGAGCCCCCATCAGCCAGCCCCAGGCACTGGCAGGCCCCCAGATGCACCCTTTCCGCCTGGTCCCAGGGATACATTCCTTTCTATCCTGGCCCCCAAGCCTCAGTTTTGGGTACATCCAGGTCTCCTGCTGGGAGGGGACATTGTCCTGTTGGGATGGATGGGAAAGAAAGGCAGAGAGAAGCACGTCTAGGGGTAGGTGCTGAGGGGTAGGTGCCAGTTCCTGCCCCCCCCCCCCCCCCCCCCCCCCCCCCCC